CTATTTGTATGCTTAAGTGCGTGTTGTTGTGTTGTGTGTGTGTGTGTGTGTGTGTGTGTGTGTTGTGTGTGTGTGTGTGTGTGTGTGTGTGTGTGTGTGTGTGTGTGTGTGTGTGTGTGTGTGTTGTGTGTGTGTGTGTGTGTGTGTGTGTGTGTGTGTGTGTGTGTGTGTGGTGTGTGTGTGTGTGTGTGTGTGTGTGTGTGTGTGTGTGTGTGTGTGTGTGTGTGTGTGCTGTCTGTCTGTCTGTCGGCGTGTGTGTGTGGTGTTGTGTGGTATGGTGTGTGCGTGTATGTTGTGTGTGTGTGTGTGGTGTGTGTGTGTTTGTGCTTATGAGAGTGAATGAATGACACACAGACACGTAGATAAAGAGAGAAAGAGTGAGAAAGAATATTTACACATTTCTTTTACCTCTCATTCATACTCTGTCAAAAACATCAACATTCACACAACATATTTACAGCATTATCTAACGTTTCCGTACCTTTATCTGTATATTTGAATAACCATATTCAAACGTCTATATTTCAGCATTCAACAAAAAACATTTTCATAAATCTAAAGTTGTAAGTTTAAGTACTATTTCGACTTTTTATTTTATAGTAATGGCGGGACTTTAATTGATCCTTATATAATTTAATATCAATTTATCAATACGATTTAACGTCATTATTGTTTTTCATTAATTTTCACGCGTCTAAATTTCACTTTATCAGCATATCAGTAATATGTATCGAGATAAACATACATACGAGCATCTATATACATAGACCATCTACATAAACATCAATGGTATAAATGTATAAAAAGAAGAAAAAATAAATCACATCAATAAACATCAATAAAATTTATAAAAATGAGAAAAATAATAAACATTAAAAATTCATTAAAAAGGAGAAAAACAATAAACATCAATCGTAAATAAAAATGAGAAAAATATAAACTCAATAGTAAAAATTCATAAAAAGGAGAAAACAATAAACATCAATCGTAAAAATTTTTAAAAAAATGAGAAAAATATAAACACCAATAGTAAAAATTCATAAAAAGGAGAAAAAACAATAAACATCAATCGTAAAATTTTATAAAAATGAGTTAAAAATGTATAAAAATGAGAAAAATAATAGAAACCGACCGAGGGATCCTTTTCAGGACATTCCTATGGGTTCATTACCATCCGAACTTACCTGTTGGAGTGAGGTTCCTCCTTCCTCAAACGAGAGGTTGTAGTTGCTATCCCTACGAGGCTTGGATATCGATTTTAATCCTCCTGCGCGTGGAAATAAAAACACCAAACACCACACACTCCACAGAGGCACTCTTTATCTCACTACACTTGGCACTGGCACTGTAAGAGGGCGACGAGGAGCGCGTTCCGAGGGGCGTTCGTCGAAGGAGGGGACACGGACACAGGCTCAGTCTGTTATGTCGCGTTGAGATTACCGGAGTATTTTAGCCAGCGACTCTGGTGTACCACGGGCGGAGTGGTGGCGGCGGAGTTGGCGGGGTCTCGCTTTCGCGCTGGGGGTGTCTCCGCGCCGGGAGCTCTTGGGTTCGGTCGTATTATCTAGGGGTTGCGAGGGCTCTGAGTGTGTTTAAGAGGAAAGGGTTAGAATTCTCCGATTCGATTTGCGTTTACCCATAAATCGGGGAAACTAAATTGCGTTTGCTAAAGTTAGGGGCGGGTTGACGCACAGGGACTTCGAAACTCAGGTAGCTATCGCGGTCTCCCAGCCAATCGCAATCGAGAGAAACCGTGACGTTTCCCAATAGCCACTCAAAACGCCCGAAAGCATCCGACGTCACCGATATCCACCACTGATGAGCGGGACGAGCGATGACGTCACCGACGCTGACCAATCGCGTCGCCGGAAACTCGTGACGTCAAAGTTTGTCGACCTGAAGGAAGGTTGGCAGGTGTGCGGCTCTCAGGTGCGACGCAAGCGGTCGTAGCGTGCGGTTGGACGCTGTGCCGGAACATGGCGGTGTGATTTCCCTTCTACAGATCCCTGTTCACCTCCCTGCCTCCCAGTCCACAAGCCGAAACCGGGGAAAATAAAGGTAAGTGATACACGGTTAACAAGGGAGTGCAGAGTGTCATTACGTGTGGTAATTCGTTGCTAAATATTCACCAATACCGAAAATACCTCTCCATCGTCTGCAAATCTTGCGAGGAAAAGCATATCCAGTACAATCCACCGATCAAAAAAAAACTAAATTATTTTTTTTTAAATCCCACAACTCTCTCTCTCTCTCTCTCTCTCTCTCTCTCTCTCTCTCTCTCTCTCTCTCTCTCTCTCTCTCTCTCTCTCTCTCTCTCTCTCTCTCTCTCTCACAATAAAAAATACGCTAAAGTGATTTTAAAACATATCGAATTTCGAGGAAACAAATAAATCAATTGGATGAAGTTCACTGAACGCGGAGAGGAAATATAGACCCAAGAATTCCCGTTTCTGACTTAAGTACTTCCTGTTTTTTTTCCGTTGCGGTCAGATCTTGGAGA